GCAGGCACTCGTGTGCATCGGAGCGGATGAGGCTGGTCGCCGAAGGCCGAAGCTGCGGAAATGTACATGAACGCCTACGCTTTGTTACGCAGAAATATATAATAGATATAGATAATAGAAATAAATAAATGCTTGCGATGTTTCAAAACGGGTCAGTTCCATGTTCACTTCACGTTCACTCAAGTGATAAAAATACATTGAATTGAAGAAAAATACAAACATACATAAACATAAACACTCACGCCTGTCACCCATTTATCATTTGGCACGATACTGACACACCTCTCTCGCTTCCTCTACATCCATATACCTACGCATATACGCTCGTCGGTTAAAGAAAGGTACTCTTGATTTGGCCCATTTTCAATATATCGCCAATTTAGTTCATTGTAGTTTATTGATGCCCTAGCCTAGATAGCCCTAGAAAAATACATTTAGGTATTTACTATGAATATAAACTTTAATGTTTAAAAATGATTTATTAATCAACTAGCGACCCACGCTGGCTTCGCCTGGTTGGGTCCTATCCCATAGTTAGATTTAAAATAATTAAAGACCATAAAATTTATTTTATCAAATATCCGTTCGGTTAAAATATACCTTAGATCACTCGCTCTCTATCTGTTTTTTAAAGTTTCATTACAATCGGCTCAACCAATCCGGAGACAAGTCCGCACAGACAGACAGACAAAAATTTTTAAAGAGTTATTCATGTCTTAGTAGCATGCAAAAACAATCCCTTGAGCTTAATAGAAGCCAGGAGAAGATAAGACACTTCAATTTTATTTATATGTACAGATTATTTTTCTCACCGATTTGTTTGAAAACGACGTGAACCTTAAATTGAAGTGAACTGTCAGCTATCAAGTGTCACATACGTTTACTAATATTATGCTAAATGTCATTGGCCAAATGACATATTACCGCCATGTGTTTTCGTTATATATTGCAATTTTAAGTGTAAACTTTTGTTTGCCTCGGTTTCGTCACAACCTCCATATGCGGAGCGCTACCTCCTCCACCCTAGAGGTTATCCTGCCCCCCCCCCCCCCCCTTCCGTAGCTTATATCTAATCTTTATCGAAACCGAGAGGAATATATTCAGCATTGGAATTTTTATAGGCTGCAATGAATGAATTAAATTTTTAACTCAACAAAAACTTACAAAGGTTATTTCGTTTTTTTGTAGCCCTTACTGGGTATTCAGTCGGGACAGCCACAATAAAAAAAAATGGAAAATCCAAAAGTGCACACCTTGAACGGACGGTTTACAATAGTGAAATTCAAAAGGCTAAAAAAAAACCAAAATGATAAATATCTTGTTCACAACGATCAACTGACGTCCAAGTGAAATTATTTTCAATTAACTTTTTTGTAATAATAATCGTAATAAATAATCTTAAAACTACATCAGAAGTATTAATTGAAATCTCCTCTTGCTATTGGTGTACTTTTTTATTATATAAGTGCAATATAAAGCTGGCTATATATTTACTGTGGCTGGGGGAAGTGATTTAAATGAGTGGATCGAGATTTTTTAATTTATTGACAATACAGCACTGGCACTATATCTCCGCTTCGCGTTCGATGTATGCAATAATCGAAACTATTTAGTTTAAAGTTCAAACTAATTTCTAATAATTTTTTTTTACAAATTTTTTGATGATAAATGAAAAGTGGGTGGGGCATCACTGCACTATAACTAACTATATGAAAAGAATATAATATGTAAATAATTAATTTTTATAATTAAACTTATTCTGTCAAAACCTCTAGTGATGCCGTTACACATTTGAACAAACGGACATTAATCACAATATCTTCATATGAGTTCCTTGTGTGGCAGCCATCGATCACAGTTTTTTATTAGTGATCGATGGTGGCAGCAGAATTTTAAAGACGATTAGGGTTCTTTCGCAAATCCTGTAATCTGGTGCTGGAAAAGCCAGCTAGTTATTATTGATGAATCGTTGTGAGGTATATATATATATATACATATATATTAGAGACAGAAACTTCACAAACAGATAATTATGTACCTATATATGTATATTTAGAAATAAAAACTCACTAATATAATATAAGATATTTTTCCCAAAGTAACAACATCGACACAAAAACTTAAGCAAAAAGTAAACAAATATAAATATTATAAAAACAGTTTTTCATTCGAAGTTCATTATTCCACGGAAAGTAGGTAAGTGAGCTACGTCAGTGTGTGTTATAAATAATTATATTTAGGCGCCCCTATTTTTTAAAAATACCCATCACTGTTTTATTATTTTATTTTTTTCCTTATGGCCGGCCACATACATACGGAATTCCGTTTTGGGATTCCGTTTCGATATTCCGATTCGGAATTCCGAACGCAGCAAGTCCATATAAAATTTATAACCTGTGACACACGTACGGTAGTTTTCCGTTCGAAATTTTGCAGGGAAAACGGGATTCCGTATGTGTGTGGCCCACCCGTTCGGAATTCCGAACGCAGCAAGTCGATATAAAATTTATAACCTGTCACACACGTACGGTAGTTTTCCGTTCGAAATTTTGCAGGGAAAACGGGATTCCGTATGTGTGTGGCCCACCCGTTCGGAATTCCGAACGCAGCAAGTCCATATAAAATCTATGACCCACAACACACGTACGGTAATTTTCCGTACGGAATTTTCTCCGATTCAGGATTCCGTATGATCGCGTGTGCGTTCGGAATACTGAACAGAAAAAAGCCGCCTCGAACGCAAGTTTTACATAGATTTTGTATGACTCTCAACACAAATTCGTAAATTCCGTACGGAACGCGCTCGGTGATCGTCGCACGACCGAGGCGAGTAAGTGTTTATATATGTTTTTACATTTTAAATCTTATAAGTGTATAGCTTTTCGTAACCTTTCATCTTATTTTTTTTAATAATTCGTAGAAAGAGTTTACAGACATCCATATTTAAAAAATATCTATGGATAGTTAGATCTTTTGACATAATATTGACTATATTGCAAGCTTAGTGTGATATGGGGATGCACCTGGTCAGAATGATACAGCAACTATGGAATTGCAATCATTATTCGCTGGCAGAATGTCTAGACTCAATGGCTAACGTCTCTCAACTGACCCTTGTTATTCCGAACGGAAATCAACGTATGTGTGTGATGTATTCACGGAATCCCGAATCGGAATTCCGAAACAGAATACCTAAACGGAATTCCGTATGTACGTGAACGGCCTAACTGTAGCAAACGACTCTTTGGCCACTGTGTCAGTTTCAAATCAGTATTACCAACTTTTTTTTGTAGGATGGGGTGACAAGTGAGCACACAGTCCACCTGATGGTAAGTGGTTGCTATGGCCCTTAGACATTTACATCTTTCCTCGATTACAAATCAAAACACAGATGTGTTGTCACCCGTGAGGACTAATTTAATATGCCTCGTGTCCAGTAAAAAGGGTCTCCGGTTCGCTACATTCACCATATGAAACACAGCAGCGTAACAGCGTTAAGCTGCTATTTTACGCTGGTATTATGTGAGAGCGTGGTCCTTCCCCGGTCGAGCCGACCCATTCGTGCTACAACTATACTACTTATATAGCTGCAGCATGCCTCTACCACGTAAAAAAAAACTCCTCCCTAAATCACCTTATTTACTTGGAAATACCCTAAAAAAAATTAGAACGCTTTGTAATGTTCTTTATATATAATATAAATTATTTAATGTTTCAAATATCATTTCTTTTTCTTCCGATACATTTTTGTTAAAGGATTTAAATGTTATAAATAATACACTATTCGTTGCAATGTGATAACAAGAATTTGCAACCGTGGTAATTAATGCAAAACATACAACCCGAATTTTGAGACGTTTTCAAAAGGTTTACAGCCAGCTAGCTGCGCCTAGGATTACCATATCTCAGGATTTGTCCTGAGATTTCAGGATTTTTAGACTCTTCTCAGGATTGCGGCTGGATTTTGCAAATCTCAGGATTTTAGAACTTTCAATAGAACATACAAAATGGATTTATATTTACATTATAAATGCAAACATGAAAAAAATATAGATATTTTAGAAATCGATTTTTTGGGAATCGATACATCAGCTTACAATTCGAATCTATTTAAAAACTCGATCTTTTTCGGAAAGAATCGACATCCCTACTGACAATAATAATAAAAAATGGCGTCAGTTTCATAGTAGGTAGGAATTGACATAAATAATGCCAAAATATTTGATTTTCAATACTTTTCTCTCAAAAAGTACATGTTTCCGCATATTGAAACTTTGTGTGTGTGCTTATAAAAATGTAATCTTTCTGTAAAAATACGTATCAACACCAAACTCGACGGACGTCAATGGAAAGTCGCACCAAGGTTTTCTTCTCAAACTGTAAAAAAATCTCAAGATTTTTAAATGGAAACCAGGCCTCTTCTCCGGATTTTTAATTTTTTCATCTGGTTACCCTAGCTGCGCCACAATCATCTTATAAACTTCTAAACAAAAATCAGCTAAAGTGGGAAAAAAAGGACTAATGGAATAAAAAAGATCATAAAAATACCCCCCTAAAAAATAGGCCCCTAAAAAACGATCATAGTGCCACCAGTGTACCCGCGCAATCTCATTCCCCACATAGTCTGTTATATGTAACCTTGACATGGCAACGTTAATAACAATATGAAATCCCAAAACCAAACATTAGGTTTGAGTTTGACACAAATATTGCAGCGGTTGGACTTGGATTTCCTTCCTGCGACGTAGTAGCCAGACGCTTTATTAAACAATGTTTCAAATTTCAATTACTATTTTTTAGTTTCTAGGAACTTATACATCCAGAATAAAAGACAGAGTATTAAGTATACTTTAAATCTAATTTCACAGAAGTATTCTCTACCTTCTTTTATAAAATATCTTGCACAAGCCCTCCTTAATTAATTTTAAGCGCGTTTACAAATGCAAAAGGCGTCACACTAAAAAAAATGTATTTCAAATTAGATATGTATATATACTTACAGCTGTTTACTGACGCGAAACTGCTACAAATCCGTGTACACACAATTTGAATACAATGTCAGTTTTTAATAAAACTTAATAATGTTTTAAACAGTAATTGCGAAACTAACCGGCAACACACACGACTAACAAAGCTCGCAGCTTGAGCGCCAATCGCAGATTACTGTATAGTGTATACAGGGTACAGGCGCCAATGTTTTTCACTGCCTTTGCTATAGAGCAGTACCACGAAATTGGATAGTGTCGATAATAACGCTGCTAATCTTGATTCGTAACGGCAAACTGTTAATTTTGTATTTCTCTAATGTAAATCCGAAACGTTAAAATTATAATGTGATAAGAAATAACTGTGAACATAATAAATTACTTATAGGTATTAATTTAATACAATTTTGTACCCTCGTTTATGAACCTTTTTCCAAATTTAATGAAATAATTAAGGCTTTACTTATCTTCATTAATACAGCAGAGTTACTTCATAACATATTATAATATAAACAGTATTTTAATATCAACTTGACTTTATAAAAGGCGATGTAATATGTCCAATTAGGCCATCTTCGGCAAAGAGGTCAACCGTTAAATTTAACTCAGCTGGAATGTGTTCGGGATACTGGGACAAATTTTCTTGTCCGATGTTTCTCAAAATTTTAAGACGAAAGTGTACAACCATTGCGTGTTTTGCTAGTGATGACTTATGAAACTGAAACGTGGTTCTTCACTGTTTCTCATATACGAGTAAAAAAACTCTCTCAGCGTGAAATGAAAAGGATTATGTTCGGAATTCCTCTACAAGATGAATCCGTAACGAGGATATCCGCAGAAGAATCAGATTAACTGATTTAGCCCAGTAAATCAGTAAGTTGGAGTCGCAGTGGTCCGGCCATATTGCTGAAAAAACCCATGGCCGATGGAAAAGAAACGTGACAGCCTCGTATTGTAATACGTGGGATTGGGTGACCTCCACTAGATGGAGGGACGAACTTATGGAATACGCATCACGTAATCGATAGATGCAGGTGCCTCACATCGCACACTGTGTACTGGCAATTGAACCCATCATTGAAAGCAAAACAGACCGCGCACATAACGCTTCTTATTATGCCCGGCAACTTCGTTTTTACCGTCGACGATTCTGAGTAGGCCAAAAGGCTCACGGACAGTCAAGAGAATCAATATACTCCATTCAGCAAACCCACAGATCCTGCTCACCTACTATAGGTAGAAGCGAAAGTAAAGCGTAGAATAACATTATCACTAGAAAAAGACCACTTAGATCTTGTGACTGTCGATGAGGTTAATATCACTGAAGTCATTAACAGTAAAAAAAGAAATCAGCACCCAGCCTCAATGGCACCAAGAATAGGATAATCAAATTATCAACAGCGCCACTAATCTGCCTTACTTAACTATATCAGCGCATAGTTCACAAACGTCTCCGCATTTACACTTTTGTTAATAAGTTGCTTCACGACGAGGAATTTGGCTTTAGAGTCGGACACTCGTGCACTGATCATATTCATCGTCTAATAGAATACATTCTGAAAGGTAAAGCCTTTCAGAATGTATTCTATTAATATAATATAATTAATATAAAAACAAAATCGCAACAGAAAAATCCTCAATACCATAGCTTCCTTCTTTGATATTGAATAAGCGTTCGACAAAGTCTGACACGACGGCTGGATTTACAAACTGTTTGTACTCAACATGCCCGTAAGGTGTAAAATACATCATCAATCAATACATAGGCTCGAAAGCCTTCTTTGCCAACCACTCCTTTCCCTACAAAGCGTTTGTTAAAAGCTGGAGTTCCACAGGGCTCCATCCTCTACCCACTCCCTATTTAAACTTTATGAGAGTCATATCCCTGAGGACCTATTAGTCAACGTTGCTCTCTTCACAAACACTATGGCATCTGTGTATATGTACTGTACATCACCGATTACAATAAGAGATATCTTACTCTAATTCTCCAAAGAGCCGCCTCACCTAGCAATCAAAAGGAACCTGCAAAATTGCAATATACATTCAAAGGAACTATCAATAATCCCCTGGGCATCGACTGCCAAATACTTCTAGGCCATTTTCAGTAATGCCATGACATTCGCGAAACACAACGACAACAACGTCCCTACTCAGACGGCGATTAAACAACTCATCTGTACATTGGTTCGCGTATATACGAGTACAACGTCCCGGTAATCTGACGTTCTGACATGACTTGAAACCTTACCATCATTATCCTTATTACGGTGATTACCATCATCATAATTATCGTTATCGCCACCATCATCATCTACACGGTCATCACCGTCATCATCAGTCTATGTTTTCCCTTAAATATATGGCTCACCGTCGTTTTTTTTATCTAAAACAGTGAGACGCCATCTATAAAAAGTTAACTAAAAAATTATTTTGAGCCATTAAAGTATATTTTCAAACTTATTAAATGTATTTTTCCTGAAATCGACCTAATTTTTCGCAGGTTTTTCAAAACAGTCACTTTAAAAACAAACCGTAGCTAACGTTATTAACACGCTATATTTTATACCTTGATAACAACATCAGGTACAACTTCCATATTATATTAAAATGTGGGTATAACTTTCACATGATTTATATTTCCCTTTCAAGTAAGTATTTGTGTAAAAACGCTTTTCTAATTATTGTACTGTTATTCTGCTACCTGCTATAATAACATATAGAAAACACACTGTGGCATGCTTTGTTCATAATTACACCAGGGAGGGCAAATATCTACGTCCCAAAATAATAAAAAATATTTTATAAATGCGCCAATTACGTTCAGACTAACGACGATTCCGAGCTAAATGTATTATAAATAATGCAGTATTATAGTTGTAGCACGAATGTGTCAGCACGCCGGGGTAGGACCACGCTTTCGGTTTATACAAAGTTACTCTGTGGACCACGCTCTCACAGAATGCTGCTGTGTTTCGTGAGTGTAAAGAACTGGAGACCCTTTTTACTGGAAACAAGGAATTCCATCTCAGTCCTCAGGGGTGACAACGCATTTGCGGACATTTATCTTCAATTAAGAATCAAAATGATTCTTAATTGAAGATAAATGTCCTCAATTAAGAATCAAAATGCATATAAATAATAAATGATGTCCATGGGCCACTACACTACATCCACTTACCTTTTTTTTTATCACCCTTATTCTATATAAAAAATACATTAATTTAATTAATAGAATCAGGCGTGACTTTGCGGAACTCTATTACCTATATTAAAGTTAGTATAAATGCAAGGTAATTTTTACCAAATTTGATTCCTAATTTTAAAAAGTGGGTAAATTTACACTTATGGTAATAACTTTCTTATATTACCTACTTTTTTTTGATAAAAATAGTCGACGTTATGTGATGTTTTTGTATAATTTTTTACCTTTGTTCACTTTTTAAAACCCTTTGAAAAAAAATGAATTTTCCAAATCGGTTCAGGCGTCTTCGGGTAATCCGTGAACATACAGAAAAAAGTACATACATACGTAAAAAAGATTCCGACGAATTGTTAACCTCCTTTTTGAAGTTGGTTAAAAATAATATGTCGTCATATTCAATATATATTGTATCAATGAATCGTCATAAACTAAAAACAGTGATTATATCTAACGTATATGGTTACACCTTCCTACATAGTTCGATCGCATAATTTTTTCATAACTCGGTGATTTTATCCAACGAAATAATGTGTACCTAGTCAAGTTGCGGGAGCTGCCGAGAGCTTTTTTAAAACTAAATACAAACTAAGACTTAAAACTAAATAAAAACTACGTGTTCACAGAGATAGATGTGAATTTATTCTGTCCATTGTCTTTTACAATACTTAATCCTATGCTTACAGTCTACTTAAATTACTACATACTCAGCGTTTATGTATTTATGCTGATGGATGCTTTATCTGTATTATGGGTGGTGCTGGTGTAACCATAACGCCTCCCTCCTCAACTGCAAAGTTATCGGCAAGATTTGGATTCCGATAATTTTGCATACAGTGTAAGAGCTTAGACTTATTTTTCCAAATTACAACAATAAGACTAATTAAGACTAATATAACATAGAGTAGTACCGTAGCTAAACTAACACTTTTCTTATTCACTTTTCAGCTTTCACTTTGACTTTCCACTATTTCACTTTTCAGCTTGTACGAGAGATATTTCAGTTCATCTAAATTAACGCGATTTAAATTCACTGTTTTCTCCGTATTTGTAGGCTGCTCTATAAATTTTGGTAGAGTTAAAATAGGTGTCACCTTATATTGCAGTTTTCCTGAATAGTATCGTTTCCGGTGTAATTTAATATTGCCTAATTTTATCTCACAGTTTTCATCGATTTCCAATAGGTAAGTGCCCATTACATCATTTCTTTAATTGTCATCGCCCCACGTTTTTGTAAGCACTATTTCATTTTGTGTAAATAGGATCCAGTTAATAGGACCAATAGACTGTATCTTAACACTTTCCAGCTCTACTATTGATAATTTACAAAGGCTTAGATTTGATGCGAAGCTCATAAGTTGTTCGATGCATGTGTTTTCAGGATACTGCATGATATCAATTTCTTCACATAGGAACTGGTTTGCTCCTGACATGGGCCATTCAAGGGTAAGTACGTGTGACCTTTCACCATGAGGTAAGGATATTTGGGAAAAATAACAGTTGTTCTATTATAGGTGGGATCAAACATAGGTAAAGCATATATTTTAAAATAACTGTATGTAATATTATCAGTCAGAGGGATTTCCATAATGAACGTTATTTGGTTTTCTTTTACATAGGTTTCTTTTACATAGTTTTCTTTTACATTTGGTTTTCTTTTGCATATACCCGCGAGAACAGTACCAAACGGACACGTTTACTCATGCTCCTCGTATAAATTCAATAACAGTGCAAAAAATAAAGTTTGTGAAGTGAAATTTAGACGTAAATATCGGTCAGAACCTACTGGACCAAACAATTGTATTAGTGTTATCTTTTATCGTGGAATAATTGGTGTATTTTGGCAATATTTATTGCAAACATTGTGTTTACGTAGTGTGCGGTGTTAGAGCTATTCTTGACAAACAAAGGAAAGGTCAAAGTACGATAGTTATAACTAAGAATACTCGAAACACTTCCAAAAATTCA